CCAATGCAACTACAGATGGTTGGCAGTAATAATAATTATCTTTATCGGCCATTGATACCATATTTGGGTGCATTCAATGACCTGATATGTGAATTGGGATACTGACTGTGCATAGGTGTGTATTGGGATACTGACTGTGCCTAAGTGTGTATTGGGATACTGACTGTGCATAAGTGTGTATTGGGATACTGACTGTGCCTAAGTGTGTATTGGGATACTGACTGTGCCTAAGTGTGTATTGGGATACTGACTGTGCATAGGTGTGTATTGGGATACTGACTGTGCATAAGTGTGTATTGGGATACTGACTGTGCATAAGTGTGTATTGGGATACTGACTGTGCATAGGTGTGTATTGGGATACTGACTGTGCATAGGTGTGTATTGGGATACTGACTGTGCATAAGTGTGTATTGGGATACTGACTGAGTATAGGTGTGTATTGGGATACTGAAAGGTGTGGTCCACAACCCAGAATTTTATGTCAAAGATGATTTATTATTTAATTTTTCTTTTTCAAATGTCCTTTTCAGGACAACAGAAACCAAAAATATGAATATGAAGGTGGTCATTTGACAGGGAATTTAAAGGGCGGTGGTTGTCATGCAGAGTGTGTTCGAATTTCATGCAAATAAACAATGTATTTTACACACGTTGTATACGTCGCTATGAGTCCCATATCAAACACAACAACCACCGCCCTTTAAGCATTTTACATTACTTACTACTAGAAATGATAGCTGGTAGATTGGGAACACATGGAATGGAGTTTGTTACTTTCTGTGAAAGCCGACCAACGTTAGAGACTCCTCGCATCTTCTTTCCCGCTGTCGTCCTTTTTGATGGTACATGGTATACATGTGTATGTGTAGTTGTCACGGCAACACTACCATCTCGAAATTCAACACCATGTCGACTACTACTTGTGACTTTGTGTTCACAAATCTTTTGATCTTCTATTGTTGTGAGATCACCGAGACTGTCACTGTGCATGTTCATTTCAACACCACTGTCGTCATGCGGTGATGAACTACAAACAGGTTGTGGCTGACTGTTGAATAAACATATAATTTTATTAGATATGATTTCACGCAATTTTCATAATAGTTATCAAGAGTGGCATATACAACAGAATTTGAGGCTGGAGGGTTAGGGTCGGGTAAGGGGTGAGGGTACATTGGAACGTCTTTCCTAATATAGTACAAAGATATGTCACACTTCCATACGATGCAGGGACTATGTTATTCCTCTATTTGGTTTTCTAAAAAAACAAATATTAGAGAAGAAATCCCATTTTAGTACAGAAGAGGGTAACACTTAACAGGCAAGAAAAGTGTCAATTCTTCTCCATTTTTCGTCAAGAATATCAACAAGCAGCCTGTCGGCTGAGATAGCTCAGCTGTTAGCAATGCACATGGCAATTACAGAACAGAAGATATCATTAGAAAAGGAACAAATCTGAGAGAGGTCCACATGTAGTACCTATATATGTAATATCAAAGCAATTGGACTTGCAGTTTTTAACAAAAAGTCGAAAATATCACTTTTTACCAAAAATTATAAAAATATTCACCAAAATTAGAGAATTAAAGATATCATTACAAAATGAATAAATCTGAGAGAGGTCCACATGTAGTACGTATATATGTAATATCAAAGCAATTGGACTTGTGGTTTTCAACAAGAAGTCAAAAATATCACTTTTCACCAAAAATTAAAAAAATATTCACTAAAATTAGAGAATTAAATTTTAAAATAAAAAGTAAATTTAAAAGTGTACAAAACACTATGCAAGATGTCATGTGACTTAATGTCATATTGTTCATCTGAAAAGTTGAAAATATCGCTTTTTACCCAAAATTACAAAAATATTCAAAATTAGAGAATTGAAGATACCATCATTAAATGAACAAATCTGAGAGAGGTCTACCCAAGGTACATATACACCAAGTATCAAAGCATTCAGGCTTGTAGTTTTCAAGAAGTCGAAAAAGTAAAACATTGATACGGACGATGAGGGATGACGAGGAGCGACGCCGGACAATCACTCATATGATAAGCTCCGCTCGACAAAGTCGACAGTGAAGCTAAAAATTTGAAAATATCCATTCTCTTATAATAAAATCTTACCAATTTTGTCTCACTTGGTTTTACTCTTATTGGTCTAACACTTAAACATTCGTCCACTTTTCCAATATCTGGCTTGTGCTCTCCCTTTTCTCCCTTGCCGCCATGGTGACTGTTACCATGGTTACTACCTCCCATGTCTGGTTTTCTGTCACCTTTATGTTTCTTGGTGACATGCGCATCTGGTCCATGTACTGTCTTGACATGTTTCCGTAGCGAGCTCGGATCTGTGTATCGCTTGGGGCAACCAGGGATCTTACAGGCATAAGGTTTCTACAAAGTAAACAAACATTCATTATCATAATAATAATAACAACAACAGAAAGTCAACTTAGTTAAGCACTGATATTTATCACTATGCAGTTGACAATATCTTAGTATAGCCATAATGTTCACATACCGTAATCATCTTAGCGCCATTTTTGACTAAACGCCTACCCACCATTTTGGGGGGAATGTCAGTTTTTGGTGTCATGTTCAACTTCGCAAACACCTCTTTCCGAAACAACTCAAATTAAACAGTTTAGTCTTGGAACACGGTTATTGAACATTATTTTATCTTTTCATACTAATTACAGGATCTTTTATGACTATCGTAAATTGTGTGTAAACTGGTAAACTACAATTCAACACCCCCTTGTTCAAGGTTGTGAAAAATGTTATATACATCCACACTTTCAAATCAACATTTATTTTAAAAAATCTTATTGTTTTTTTTGTCAAAATCAGTGCCAACAGATCAATTTAAACACTTTGTGCTGTAAAAAACGCTAACGTCAATTCCCGATTGCATTCTGATTGATTAATAACATCAGTTCAAATATTGCCGAAAACCTTATTGCGGAAATTGATTAGGGTCAAGGGTTAGTGTTAAATCAGAAACATTCAATAACGAAAATAATAACAAAGTTTTTGACATTTTCTCACAGACTCTAATAATTTCTACACTGTAAATTCTGACTTTATGTAAATAATATTGTAATAAAATGTGTGTATTTTGAACAAATTTCTGTTTACACTGCAAGTTGCAGAAATCAATGACGATGCAATTCATTTTGAAATTTTAAATCCCATCAAAAAGATGTGCTAACCCCCCACCCCCCCACCCCCACAAAATCTGGCAGATGGTTAACTAAAATTGTCTTCCGGAAAACATTTTGAATTTACTCCCTAAAAAAACAGCCAAGCACCCAGGGTACTGATTCAAATGGGGTCTTACCAGTACGTGACCTCAAATATTTAAAGATACTTACGGCATTTGAATGTGTTCTGTTTTGATGTTTTGCTCTGTCGGAAGCATTCGAGAACGCCTTAGTACAACCATCATGTTCACATACATAAGGTCTCTCACCAGTATGAGACCTCAAATGAGTTTTTAAGTTTTCTAGACGGGAATATGCTTTGAAACAGCCTTCAAACTGAAAATGAAAAAAGAATAAAAAAAAACATTTATACAGAAATCTCAGTAAACTGCTTTCAGTTCTACTTTCAGTTCATGTGTTTTACATATTTCTTGTATGTAATACTGTCAACTACTTTTATGTTGTGAGACACAGAATGTCATTTGTTATTATATTAAATCATATAAGCTATGATATTGGCTTGATATACAGAGGAAAAGGTTATTTATCATTAATGCGAGTCCCATGCAACAAAAGTATGGCCACGGCAACCATTTTAAGTCGAACATAATGAAAGTAGTTACAAAGTTTAGTACCATTACATTTTAAATGTTAGAAACAAATATTAGTTCATTGATGAAAGGTTTTGCCAAAACATTATATTAGTTCATTCAAAACATCATACAGACTATCAAACTTTCTAGCCACTGTACCAGGATATTGTTACAAATAAAGCTGGCCAATATCACAGACTCCACAACTACGATAGCGCCCTCTAGAGGGCTATATAGGCTAAAAACAAGGAAATGTATAAACCTGTTGACACTACAATAGTTTTATATTTGAGTGATTTTATTGCATCACTGGAGATACCACTCTGTCTGTTAGGGTTTAGGGTTATTAGGGTTAGAAGCAAATACAGTATCTAGGATTAAATTTTAAAACAAGCAGCCTGTCGGCTGAGATAGCTCCGCTGTTAGCAATGCACATTACAATTAAAGAACTGAAGACATCATTAGAAAATGAACAATATGAATAGTATCAAAGCAATCAGACTTGCGGTTTTCAACAAGGATTCAAAAATATCACTTTTCACCAAAAATAATCATCAAAATTAGATAATTGAGGATATCACAATGAAATGAACAAATCTGAAAGAGGTCCACATTTAGTACCTATATATGTAATATCAAAGCAATCAATCAGACTTGCGGTTTTCAACAAGAAGTCAAAAATATCACTTTTCACCAAAAATTTAAAAAATATTCACTAAAATTAGAGAATTAAATTTTAAAATAAAAAGTAAATTTAAAAGTGTACAAAACACTATGCAAGATGTCATGTGACTTAATGTCATATTGTTCATCTGATCCATTTAGCCAAATATACCATTATGTTTTTAATATTCTTTTGATAACTGGTAGTGAATTGTATATTAAGCAAAAATTAAACATAGATAAAAAATACATTGAGAATTTGGTGGAAACATATGACAGAATCCAACTACACCGCTCTGATGTTTGTAGTGTATGGAAGTTATTTTAATGAGTGATGCAGTGTATTCTGTGACTGTATTTTCACAACTGAAACTGAAAAGAAAATATAGTATGGATACACAGCATGCCAATATTTTCAGAAATGTACTGTACTGCCACGCCTTACAAAGATGAATTGTAAATTCTATTGATAGTGTTAAAGTAATCCAGGGTCCATAGCACCAAGAGCCAAATTATTTCCAAGACTTTTCCCCAAACTTTCTTGCATTTTTCCCCAAGACATTTAATTCAGACCAACATTATCACCAAAGCTTATCAACGTTCTGAGAATATGGTAGATCCCTGGATAAAATGAATAAATAATTACCAGGGATATGAAGAAATTTAAAAGCTTTTTAAAGATTTTTTTATTTTTCCTGTAATTTAAAGACAACTCAAAGACTTTCCAGACCTCAAAAAATCCAAAGACATTCAAAGGATTTTACCTTTCTAAAGCTCAGGAAATCTATTTCGATTTGCAGAGATGGACATTTTGGGATTTAGACAGAATCCCAAGGAACAGAGACCCATCAAACAAAACCTTGGTAGGACTGATTCCTGGTAGATAAAATACATTTTCTTTTAAGCAGTCTCAAATTCACAACCCCCAGGGAAGTGAACACAAGTCAAATACCCAAGGGATGATTGACACAATACTGTCAATTGAGTGTAAGCTCTAAAATTCCTCTACATGCAAAACATTGAAACAAAAATGTGTTGCAGAAAATTATGGTGTTCAGACATGTAAATGAGCGAAGTTAAGACAAAGTACAGTGGGTGATTCCATCTTTACCACCCCTCACAACAATACCCCTCACAATCCTGCCACCCCTCATCACAGCATCCCTGCCACCCCTCACCACAACATCCCTTCCAAACCTCACATCACTGACAACCCTCAAGACAACACCTTTGCCACCCCTCATTACTGACACCCTCAC